ATATCCCAATAGTTCATTACAGTCTATGTTCTCCTCTTGACCAAAGGATACGATATAACCAGCAGGCAGCCAGTGGCGGGGCAGGAGAGGAACCAGGATCCCAAAGCCAACCAGTGCAAAGAAGAGGTACAGCAACCAGGCAGTGATCTGGAAAAGGTGCAGAGGCCAGCTCCAGCCATTCCTTCGAGCGCGTTGGACCTGCACCTCACGAACAGCTTCACCCAAGTTCTCTGGAGCTGTCTTATTAGGAGGTTTATTGCAGATATTCATCTACAGAAATCAAAAACGGAAAACAAAATAATATGTGATACAAAAATATTGTGACTGAGCCTCAGTCCTAGAATTATGCTCCAAGGTGGACAGAAATTTGGAGAGACTAAAGCAATGACACATCTGATGAGAGACTTCTCTCTGCACAGGGGATTTGAGATCAATAGCAGTGAATGGGGCAAAACAGTTACAGACCTTAAAAGCAAGAGCTGATGTCTGCATGAAACAACAGTACCCTAAATTTTCAGCTCAGGGAAACTTGCAGCTTTTTTCAGCCTCTGAATGGATCTAGAACTAAATTGAGTAAAAAGAGCAAAGCGGGTATTCTGGTGGCAGTCTAGAGATAAAGTATGATATGATGTGGTCCAGAGACGTGTAAATGTCAGAAAGCTGTTATGGATGATGGCAGAACAAATGCTTTCACCTGTCTCAGATATGCCACGCTTTAGTGCAGAGAAGTGTAGTGAGAGCGGGTGGCCCCACTGGGGCACGTGGTCTGAAACTACAATTTAGCACTACACAGTATCCAAGAAAACAGAGACTCCTTTGTCAGCAACAAAGTGGAAAGACTAGAAACTGAAAAAGTGAACTGATAATTTAATGATAAAAAGGGGAAAAGAAGTAGGAGCTACTCTACAAGCATAAAGCAGACTGTTGCTAGAAGAACAAAACAAAGTTATGTATGCAGGACATCCATGCAGGAAGCAGCTTGATTATTCAGCTGTCCTACAGCATCTGGACTCCTGGCAGGAGAAAGCAAGACTTAACTGCAAAGATGAGTTAAGAACCATAACCTGGAAAGTTCTTGATGTTTATGATTCCTGTTTGCACAACAGCTATGAGCTCAGAAGTGATTTCTCCTTTTTTCCAGTTTGTGTGAGTTACTAGTTGTTGAGTTATTAGTTGTTGCTTACCATGGAACCAGGATGTGCTTTTAACAACAGAGAGTTGGACTGCTCTGCTTCACGGAAAACTGGGGTGCAACAGATACCAGGGAGTACAATCCAGAGTAGCACTGCAAAACTGACACTAAGAAGCTCTGCTGGACCTGAGCTTACTTGAGGTACCCATGCACCACACTCCCTGCTCCTTTGTAAGAGAACGTTAAATTAACATCGAACAGGGATAAGTGATTTCAATTACTCTGATCAACTTGCACACAAGTGTGTTGAAAGAAAAGGAGGGGATCTCTAGCTCACTTGCAGTATTTTTGATGGTTCCAGTACCAGAAAAATGCCAAAGGGCTAGCAGACAGCAAACACACCAACATGCGGAAA